GCTTGCTGTCACTGGTTTGGATCCCGTTTACTTTCATGTTACTGATTGAACTAGGTGTGGTAAGCTTTCATCAGACAGTCGGTCTATATTAAGATGACAGCTTCAGCTCCATCCATGATGAGATCATCCCAAAGGTTCTGGACTGGGCTGAGATCTGGTGACTGTGGAGGCCACTGGTGTCCAGTGAACTCATGGTTATGTTCTAGGAACCAGTTAGAGATGATCTGAGCTTTGTGACATGGTGCATGATCCTGTTGGAGTTAAGCCATGGGTCTGTGTGTTAAGTAATGGACATAGTCAGCAACAATACTCAGGTGGACTGTGGTGTTTAAACCAGGCTCAGGTGGTACTGAGGGGTCCAAAGTGAGATGAGAACATCCACAGGGGTGGACCTTTAAAGCGCCCGAGCGCCAATGGCGCTAAATTTTCTCGTCGGGCGGTAAATACTTGACGATTTACCGCCCGGGGGGCGGCCAAGCCTTGTTTGTCATTTACACACCGGCTTTCACCTACATCATGGCCGCGCCCTGTAGGAAGCCACCGTTTTCGTATGCAGGAAGTATGCGACGACAAAGTCGAGTTTTGTTGAGGGAACAAACAAATTCAAACTTGAATACGTTATTATGTTTGTGCATGTGTACAAAATAAAGGTTTATTACATTTAAAACGGTTCAGTTGTTATTTTGACTCGTTTTGGCAGCTGACCAGCGGGGCCGGTAAATATTCAGAGTTACCGGCCCGGCTGGCCGGTTGGTTTTGAAGTTAATGTCCACCCCTGATCCACCCCACGCACCAGTACACCACTATCGGTCTGAAGCATTGATGCAAGGCAGGATGGGTCCATGCTTTCATGTTGGTGGCACTGAATTCTGACCCAGCCATCTAAATGCTGTAGACCCAGTTTTTCCAAGCTCTTATAATATTTGGTACTTTATTGATTTTTTTCTTTGCTGATAAACTAAATAGGGCTGCTACAACGAATCGATAAATTCGATGAAAATCGATTACTAAAAGCGTTGGCAACGAATTGCGTCATCGATTCGTTGTGTCGCACAACTCTTCCAAAAGCGCCCCCCCTTCCCGCCCGCCGTTGCGCGCAGACAGATCAGCGCGAGGGAGAGCCGGCAGATCAGTGCGAGGGAGAGCCGGCAGTTGTTTGGAAGAGGAACATGGCAGAAGCAGCGAGAGTCAAAAGGTAAAAGCTTTTTAAGTTTGGGAGCATTTTCAGTTAAATCAGGCGAAGACATGCGTTACCTGCAACGTTTAGGTCAGACTTAGCATGGCACGGGATGATGCAGCGTCTTAAACTCAAGCATGTCGGGATCATCAGCGAGGAAGGAGAGAACTCTGTGTCCGGGTAAATTAAAAACTTTTCAAAAGTGATTCATCCAAGTCCCGGATTATTACACAGGCTAGACATGCCCTGAGCTCGTAAAAAAAGAGTCTAAAGTCGTGAGCGCGACGCTTATTAGATGAGCGGGGGGACTCGCGCTGCTGCGAACCGGTTCCGCCCAAGGCCGGATTAACTGGGCAATTGCCCAGGGCCCACGAACTCTAAAGGGCCCAGGGCACGAGCAAAATACTGTATCTATAATTTCCCGCTTTATGAGGACTATGGTGACCGTACGTTCCGTTTTCCCCGGACGTGTCCACTTTTCACTCTCTGTCCGGCGCGTCCGGACTGCGGGTTCTTGTATTGATGAAAATGTCCGGCTTTTCATCCAGGAGCAGGGATCGAATTATGGGGGAGCTGTATATCCTACACATCCAGGGGAACCGGAAAAAAGTTTTCTATATTATATCATTTTTGGACTCTTTTGAGCAGAGAGCACAAAGAGCGGCACAGCGCTGATCGTTGTTGCGCAGCGATCCAGGCAGCTGCTTCCAGCGCACGGTCCATTCTCAAAGTGGCGCAACCAAAAAACTATAATTAGCACACGATCGTTCATGTCTGCACATGTTCTCTACTTTCTGTCTTATTTGTGCCTGAAGCGCTCTGCTACTGCGGAGCTCATCACCTGCGCTGCGGTGATGTCACCTCACGCAGCATCGAAAACGCGCTCTGAGCTTTGCGGTCAGGAGATCCCTTTGATCTGCTCAAAAGTAACTGATGAGGTGAAAAAGTAAGAATCCAGGCAACAGTTTTTCTGGAGAATTAAGAGGAGATGCAGGAAGATGAGAGACAGCCAGGACAGGAAAATAGTTCAATAAAAACAACAAAACAAAACAAAGTGTTGAAAAGTAAAATGTAGGTAGATTTATCTCCATTACACGTAAAACAATAAGTTACACACATGTAATATTTATAAATTTGATACTATTCAGATCACCTTCAACACTCAGTCACACACCCAGGGCCGTTTCAAGACATTTTGGGGGCCAAGGCAAAATGCACCCCCCCCCCCCCCCCCCCCCCCATAACTGGGCTCCCCAGAAGCCTCTGTGTAATTGATGCCCTCTCCAGGAGTATTAGTTATACAGTGTTTATAAAAGCCCCTCAGACATTACTGACATGTTCTAATATTATCAGATGAAAAACTAAATTATCAGACATGCTGTCTCATCTGCTGCTTTTCTAAACTTGCAGAAAGTAACAAAACCATTTGAAAGCCACTATTTGTGGATTCTCTGAAATTTTCCATGGAGTGTGAGACGACTTATTTTTTCAGTCATTTTTGGAAATAGTGATCAATTTTGATTAATTCGCAGCCTATGTTTAATTACATTTAAAAATTAGTTGTTTGACATCCCCAGTTATAATAAATGTCTACAGATGAGATCAAACAAAACAGATGAGAATTGCCCTTAAGCTGTTTAATTGGACCAAGCATTTTAGGTCACAGATAGATGTAGCTTAGGGTCTCTGTCTATACACCTTATAAGACAATTTAGGTGATGGCATGTTGTTTTTCTGCTATTGAACTGTTTTCTAATAATGTTGTGTTAAATAAAGTGAAGGAAGGAGAGAAATAACGTTAGCAGTTTTTTAAAATTTCCCCATGTGATCCGATTAATCGATTAATCGTGTCGAGACCCCATTCGATTAATCGATTATCCAAATAATCGTTTGTTGCAGCCCTAAAACTAAATAAATGAGTGTCTAATCGTACTGTAGACATTTGTAGTCAATAATTTAGCACTTTATTGCATCTTAGTTAAAATTTAAATGTTCTGCCTAAAATTCAGTGTTGCACTGCCACCGCTATTGGCTAAGAGGTACACTGACTCTGGGGCTGACTCTGGTAACCGGTAATGGTTGTACCCCGTGTGCAGCAGTACCGGGACCAGAGTGAATAGGGTGTGTATGGGGTGCATGAGTGGGTGTCCGGCATGCATTTTTGTAAGTCTTAGGTTGTATGTGCATGTGTGAGCATGAGGGAGTGTGTGTCTGTGTATGACTGTATATGTCAGGTGGGGCCTTTGACTCCTCCCTTCTTCTGGGACTTCTTTTGATGCCATACATCTTCGTCTCCTCTCCCCCTGCCACACCTGGTGTGGAGTGTGGTGCCTTGGTCTGCCTGAGTGTTCGTGGCTCCCGGGTTAGGGGGTTTAAGATTTTTGGCGTCCGCCTGATCAATCCCGGTGGCTGCCTGTTGGGATCTGGGTCCCTGGGCTTTGCTGGGTCCCCAGTGGTGGGTGGTCGCCCCTGGGTCCCGGGTTGGTGGGTCCCGGGCTCGGCCGGCTGGGGGGTGGGAGGCTGCGGGCGGGTCTGTGGGCTTGCCACTGATATGTCCCGAGACTCTGCCGGCTGCTGGTTTTGGCCCCCCGGGGCAATCCTCTGCACCTCTCAAGGGTAAAAAAATGGTAAATGGCCTGTATTTGATATAGCGCCTTTTAGAGTCCTGGAACCCCCCCAAGGCGCTTTACAACACAATCAGTCATTCATCCAATACCACACACATTCACACACTGGTGGTAATGAGCTACGATGTAGCCACAGCTGCCATGGGCGCACTGACAGAGGCGAGGCTGCCGAGCACTGGCGCCACCAGTCCCTCCAACCACCACTGCGGGCCTTGTGTCTGACACATGTGGCCTAGCCTAATGCCAACCAGAAGCTCATAGATGAAACCGCAGTGTGTCCTCTGCTGTCCCAGCTTGTGTCCCACCTGTCCACCACAGCTGAAGTCCCCACTTTATACCGACTATGAACAACCTTATACTTCTTTGACCGGGTGTGAAGTACAGTTAGGCTAATCATTATTTTGAGAAGCAGGATGTTTGTGGGAGAAGATGCCCAAACACTGGAACATGGATATTCCACTGAATGGCTGAATTTCTCTATCTAAAGGTGGAAACTGACCTGTTTATGTCTCACCTATGTGTAGGCAAACCATTTGTGTGCACATGCTCACTTGCTCTAAATTCTACGAGCAGCGTAATGCAGAAGTCTCTTGCGTTTTCCCTACAGCCTAATAGGTGTTGATCGTAAGCTGATCTATCAGTTCTTTTTATGAGAGAAAAAAAAAAGATGGAACCATTTCATTTCAGGAACCTGACACCACTTTTTTTCATTGTTATGCCTGACCAATAAATTATCCAGATGCTAATAACACTCTGAACAATATTCTTCCAAAAAGCTGAGTCTGTGTTGTTTGTTTCTTCTGTTCCTGGTTTGAGTCCGTCGTCTTCTCTGTTCTATTGCTTGAGATGAGTGAAGAGCGTCCTGCAATGAAGACGGTCAACGTAGACACAAAGTTCTGCATTTAATGTGTTTGTCCATGTAATCCAAACAACAAACGGCTGTAATAGTGATGCTATTTTAACAAATGTTTGTGTTTGTAAAAATACATTGTTGTGGAGAGAGAGAGAGAGAGAGATGATTAGAGTGTGTTGAGGGGGTTGTTTTTAGTTTGGTTTTAGAGCATATCACATATGTTGTTGTTTTGGCTGCTGCTGCATCACCTTTCTGTGCTTGATTGTTTTATCCACCAGTGAACATTAAAACTGGAAACGCATGTCCAGTGTTAACCCTCGCTCTCCCCATGCATCTCTCCCAGCAGGGCTATGTCCTCGGCACCCACCACATCTCCATCTGTGGACAAAGTGGACGGATTTTCCCGGAAGTCTGTCAGGAAGGCCAAGCAGAAGCGGTCACAGAGTTCGTCCCAGTTCCGCTCTCAAGGCAAACCCATAGAGCTTACACCATTGCCGCTGCTCAAGGGTAAGAAAGACCATAAGTGAACATTAGCTACACATATACACATCACTTAAAACACGTCTCAGGAGAAGCACACGGGTAATTAACCAGTTAGAGTAACTTCTAATCAACAAGCTAACTGTAGGTCAAATCCCTTTACTTTGAAAAGAGAGAGCGGTGTTGCCCCAACATGGCCGTCTCTGATTTGGCTCTTGGAAGCACCTTAAAACAGCATCCAGGTCTTATAGAACAGAGGATTTCCCGTCATTGGCCCGAATGCAGCAGCAACAGGAATGAGAGGTGTAGTGCTGCCCTGCCTACAAAAGCCTGCTCTGTCTCTGGCATTTCACTGAAAGGAATTTAAGCCACAGGAAGTGTTTGATGGAAAACTTCTGCAGCTTTGACTCTCACCTTATTTTCCTCTCACATTTTATTAGACATCCAATCCTAGCGTTTGTCTGTCCTACACAATGTGTTAGTGGATGTTGCAGCCAGAAGGCAGATGGATTACTTTGATTGATAACCTGCGTTTTGAGGTTAGTTGGAGTGAACCTAATGTCCCCACTCCGAAGGGAAAGACTAGTAACCTGTTGCTGCTTTGACTAAAATGTTTGTAAAGGTTTGTTGTTCCCATTTCATTGTGAACAGTCAAAATTTAAGTGAGAAAGGAGAAATAATCTGTCCTCCATGTTCCCATATGGATAATCCACATACAGAATAAGATTAATTTATTCCCACTCATTTTTTTTAGCTTCAGGCTTCATTCCAGAGACAAAAATATTTTTTCAAAGCAGTGAACTCTGATATCCAATAAATTCTGTTGTTGTTGACCAAAAGACCAAACCTCAGATGAGCACAAAGTGTGTATGGTTCTAGGTACACTCTACAGTGGTGGTCGCTTGGCACCTCTTTTACTAACAAGCTGTTTATGCTCTGTGTTCCTTTAATTTTTTGTTTTTGTTTATCCTCCTCTTCATTTCCATACCTCTTTTGCATGCCTTAAACCAAGCATGTACACATTACGAGTGGGCGTATATAGGAACAGATGTATTTATGGATTACCAGATGCTCAAACCGTATCATACTCTACCCTGTGCCGCCTCTTCCTTTTGGACTATTTAAATGTGATAGAGCAGACTGAGGTGACTTGCTGCAAGTAGAAAAATCACGTGTCTGAGACTTGGCTGCATTGCTCCTAATTGTTAAGAGGAAGACGAGGAAGGTGCCACTTCCTTAAAGGTATCCCAGGGAAAAGGATGATGTTTGCTCAATGGAATTCTTACAATAGACACACAGCGCTGGCTCGCAGCATAGCCCTTCATCTGATTAAGCACATTCCTGTTCGTCCTCATATTTTTTGAAAGAAATTAAACTATTAATCTGCAATAGCAAATCTACAAAATAAGTTTGCTTAAAACAAATTTTTCATGCCTCTTAACAACATTCTAAAATAGTATGGCTATAATTATAACGTGGAGATTAAAGAAGTGGTTCTCTTGTATTTGTCTAAAAACCTCCACCAATAGCACGGCTTGGTCCCAAATTAACCATTGGACCATCTGGTTGTCTCCACCGCACATCTGCATCTACCTGGGTCTTCCACTCATTATGCGCTTGTATATATTTAGAGACAGAACACCACAGGTGTGAGAGGTTCTCTGCTCAATAATATCAGAGAAATAGCCGGCTTCTACCACTTCAGCTTTAGGACAAACTACCAGAGTCCCAAAAAGAAAATCACTGTTTGAAGTCACGAACAACAAGAGACGTTTGAACCTAGAAAACGGTGATTGTTGTAAGCATGATCTCGTTTACTGTGACATCGCGGCTGGTCTGGGGATGATGGCCGAAAGGAGGGGTGAGTGTTCCATGACCGTGTTTGTGTTTCAACCCTAGCTTATTGCTGAGCTAGGATGTAAATTTGCTATTGCAGCTTTAATCTTTTAATTCTAAGGCTGCCACCTTACCGTGGTGGAGGGGTTTGAGTGTCTCAATGATCCTATGAGCTAAGTTGTCTGAGGCTTTATGCCTCTGGTAGGGTCACCCATGGCAAACAGGTCCTAGGTGAGGGGTCAGACAAAGAGCAGCCCGAAGACCTCTTATGATGAATTATATAAAAGGAAACCGTCTTCCCTTGCCCAGACGTGGGTCACCGGGACCCCCCTCTGGAGCCAGGTCTGGAGGTGGGGCACGTTGGCGAGCGCCTGGTGGCCGGGCTTTCACCCATGGAGCCCGGCCGGGCACAGCCCGAAGAGGAAACGTGGGTCCCCCTTCCCATGGGCTCACCAATCATGGGAGGGGCCAAAGGGGTCTGGTGCAGTGTGTGATGGGTGGTAGTCGAGGGCGAGCACCTTGGCGGTCTGATCCACGGCTACAGAAGCTGGCTCTTGGCACATGGAATGTCACCTCTCTGGTGGGGAAGGAGCCTGAGTTGGTGTGTGAGGTTGAGAGGTTCCGACTAGATATAGTCGGACTCACCTCAACGCATGGCTCTGGCTCTGGCTCTGGAACCAGTTTCCTTGAGAGGGGTTGGACTTTCTACCACTCTAGAGTTGCTCCCACTGACAGGTGCCGAGCAGGGGTGGGCATACTAGTTGCCCCCCATCTTGGTGCCTGTATGTTGGGGTTTACCCCAGTGAATGAGAGGGTAGCCTCCCTCCGCCTACGTGTGTGGGGATGGGTTCTGACTGTGGTCTGTGGTTAAGCACCAAACTACAGTTCAGACTACCCTCCCTTTTTGGAGACCTTGGAGGGGGTGCGGGAAAGCGCTCCTTCCGGTGACTCCCTCGTTCTGCTAGGGGACTTTAACGCTCACGTGGGCAACGACGGTGAGACCTGGAGAGGTGTGGTTGGGAGGAATGGCCCCCCCCCCCCTGATCTCAGTTCGAGTGATGTTTTGTTATTGGACTTCTGTGCCAGTCATGGATTGTCCAGGCAGGCCCAAACATATCGTGATTGTGCTGGGAACATCTGGCAGAGTCTCCTGTCAGATGGAGCTTCAATTCCCACCTCCGACAGAACTTCCAAAATGTTCCGGGAGAGACGAGGGACATTGAGTCTGAATGGACCCAGTTCCGTGCCTCCATTGTTGAGGCGGCCGACCGGAGCTGTGGTCGCAGGATCGTCTGTGCCTGTCGTGTTGGCAACCCCCGAACCCACTGGTGGACACCAGCAGTTAGGGATGCTGTCAAGCTGAAGAAAGAGTCCTATCAGGTCTTTTTGGCTGTGGGACTCCAGAGGCAGCTGACGGGTACCGGCAGTCCAAGCGGAACGCGGCTCGGGTGGTCGCCAAGGCAAAAACCCGGGCATGGGAGGAGTTCTGTGAGACCATGGAGCAAGACTTCCGTATGGCTTCGAGGAGATTCTGGTCCACCATCCGGTGTGTGTGTGTGGGGGGGGGGGGGGGGGGGAGCAGGGCGCTACCTACACTATCTATAGTGGGGACAGTGTGCTGCTGACCTCTACTCAGGACTTAGTGGGTCGGTACGCAGGATACTTTGAAGACCTCCGCAATCCCACCAACACGTCTTCCAGTGAGGAAGCAGAGTCTGGGGACTTTGGGTTGGCCTCTCAAATCTCTGGTGCTGAGGTCACTGAGATGGTTAAAAAGCTCCTCTGTGACAAGGCTCCAGGGGTGGATGAGATCCGCCCGGAGTTCCTTAAGGCTCTGGATGTTGTGGAGGTGTGTTGGGTGACGCAGCTCTGCAATATTGCGTGGACATCGGGGGCAGTCCCACTGGACTGGCAGACCGGGGTGGTGGTTCCCTTATTAAAAAGGGGGACTGCAGGGTGTGTTCCAACTACAGGGGGATCACACTCCTGAGCCTTCCTGGTAAGGTCTATTCAGGGGTTCTGGAGAGGAGGGTCCATCGGATTGTTGAACCTCAGATTCAGGAGGAGCAATGTGGTTTTCGTCCTGGCCGTGGAACACTGGACCAGCTCTATACCCTTAGGGGGATCCTGGAGGGTGCGTGGGAATTTGCTCAACCAGTCTACATGTGTTTTGTGGATTTGGAGAAGGCGTTTGACCGCGTCCCTTCTGGGGCCCTGTCGGGAGTATGGGGTACCGGGCCCTCAGATACGGGCTGTTAGGTCCCTGTATGACCGGTGTCGGAGCTTGGTCCGCATTGCCGGCAGTAAGTCGGGCTCGTTCCCAGTGAGAGTTGGACTTCGCCAAGGCTGCCCTTTGTCACCGATTCTGTTTATAACCTTTATGGATAGGATTTGTAGGTGCAGCCAAGGTGTGGAGGGCATCCGTTTTGGTGGCCTGAGGATCAGGTCTCTGCTTTTTGCAGATGATGTGGTCCTGTTGGCTTCATCAGAACATGATCTTCAGCTTTCGCTGGAGCGGTTCACAGCCGAGTGTGAAGCCGCTGGGATGAGAATCAGCTCCTCTAAATCTGAGACCATGGTCTTGATTTGGAAAAGGGTAGAATTCCTTCTCCGGGTCAGGGATGAGGTCCTGCCCCAAGTGGAGGAGTTTAAGTATCTCGGGGTCTTGTTCATGAGTGAGGGAAAACTGGAGCAGGAGATCGATAGGCGGATTGGTGCTGCATCTGCAGTGATGCGGGCGTTGTACCGGTCTGTCGTGGTGAAGAGAGAGCTGAGTCAGAAGGCAAAGCTCTCGATTTACCAGCCGATCTACGTTCCTACCCTCACCTATGGTCATGAGCTTTGGGTAGTGACCAAAAGAACGAGATCGTGGATACAAGCGGCCGAAATGAGTTTTCTTGGAAGAGTGGCTGGACTCTCCCTTAGAGATAGGGTGAGAAGCTCGGTCATTCGGGAGGGGCTCGGAGTAGACCCGCTGCTCGTCCACATCGAGAGGAGCCAGTTGAGGTGGCTCGGGCATCTGGTCAGGATGCGTCCTGGACGCCTCCCTGGTGGGGTTTTCCGGGCACGTCCAACCGGGAGGAGGCTTAAAGGTAGGACCCAGGACACGGAGGAGGGACTATGTCTCTCACCTGGCCAGGGAACGCCTTGGGATTCCCCCGGAGGAGCTGGCCCAAGTGGCTGGGGAGAGG